TTTTTTTCTTAATATAATAAACATTAAAAGTGCAATAAAAATACATAAAGGTACTAATAATTAACTGAAAGATACAATGTTTTCAAGAATTCTAGCAATAGTGGTTACATTGTTCATTCTAATGCAGGGGGATATACAACATTGGTAGTTTTCCCGAAATTAGATAGGGGTCACCCTTCCATGACCTTCCTCGTGTCACCCTGTATCACTGTGTCATGTTGTGCTGATTTAGTAGTTTTCCAAAATTACATATGAAATTAGAGGGGGTCCACCCACCCCCTCATGACCTTCTTCATATCATCCTGTATCGCTGTGTCAAGTTTGGTGTTGATTGATCAAGAAATGTCCAAACATATAAGGAACAGATAAGGTCATGAGGGGGTGGAGTGGACTCCCCCTAATTTCATATCTAATTTCAGAAAAACTACCAAATCAGTACAAATTGATACAGGATGACATAAGGAAAGTCATTAGGGTTTGACCCCTATCTATCTATACAAATAAACGTCAATATGTGTATGTATCTGTGTTCCTCATGTCACCCTGTATCGCTGTGTCAAGTTTGGTGCTGATTGATAAAGAAATGTGGAAACGTATAAGGAACAGACACACATACACATATTGACATTTATTTATACAGATAAGTAATACATAATAATCAATCAACGCTGAATTTAAGATTGAATAAATCTCTTCTTTCCTGGTATCTCTGCTTCCATCCTGTTAATCTCTCATCTCAAAACCTGGATCTCTATCTCCATCTTTATGCAGAGTTTACATTTCGTATTTATTATAAAATAAAGTCAACTAACATTATAGTGATGTCAATCAACTTGTCTATCCAAGTTTCTACAGTCTTAAGCCTACTTTTAAGATATAGTTAATTATTTGTGTTTGCTGGCAGTAATTAAGATTCATGGCGACAAGGCTAATATGTTTAACTTTTTTTTATCGCAGTATAGCTAGAAATGTTTAACAGTGTTCAACTTAGTTACATCCTCTTGCCTTGTTAACAGTAAAGCATTTTAGTATTATTAACTTGTTATATTATTGCGCCTTTTTAGTAGCTTTGTTTGTAGTTAAGCACAAAATTACACAATGGGCTATTTGTATTGGGCCTACCACGAGTATCGAAACCCGGTTTTCAGCCATCAGAATTACCGCTGTACTATTAGGGGACCTTTTTAGTAGCATGTTGAACGACCTTAAACTTATATCACTGAGCTACCTTAGTAAATAATTAAGAGCTGTATCCCTAACACATATATACATATTTAAAAATATAAATGTATTCATCTTTAAGGTTAAATTATAGTATTGTTACGACAGCGGAAGTCACGCGACGCTGGGAGCATGCGCGCTGGAGTTTCTGGAAGGATCATGAATTATCGTGGAACCCCGCGAGTGTCCGAGTGTTTGCCAGACGCCCTCTTTTTTAGTATATAAGCCCGGCAAATAAAGCCAGCGAGGAATAGATAAGCGGATAGATCGAAGAGATAGATAATCGAGTCAAGTGAACAGTAGGCACCGTAAGTAAAGTGTGTGAATCACTGTGATTTATAGCGTGTGTTATAAAAGTGTATTACAAAGTTTGTATCGAGAAAAAATAAACTAGTTTTAATCAAGAAGGGACTTGTATCGCTGAAGTTTCTCGGAAATAATTTTTACCGGAAATTATCAAACAAGCAGATACGCAACAGTATAACTGTCCTAAAATGATCTACTTAAAATCATATCACTATTATTGCTATAACAAACCAAAGTAAACTACTACAGCATTGATGTACTGAGTCAAGTTTCCGAAGAACTAACTAGATTATTATTATTATGATTGGGTACATTTATTAATAATTAAAATATTGTTATTTCTTACTTTAAGTGGCTATGAAAAGATCGCAACCCCCTGACCATGAACGATGTATTCCCCAACTGTCGTGTATGACACAAATATACAACATCCCGAATGTGTTTTCGAAGAGGATCGATTTCTTTCAAGGATTCGAGAAAAGAAAGGTAAGTAATTTAATTATTGAACATTTGTCATTCATGTGCCAAATTCGAAAAGTTCATATGCTTTGATAATGTTACATAATTTACTTTTGGCAAAGTGTATTGTTATTTGCTGAGCTAACAAATTTTTGTAAGTATTTGCAGCGCCCCAACCGGAATATTTGAAAAGTATTAAACTGACAGTCCATTAAAGATACGAGTGCCCCCCCCCCAGTGGTACAGCGGTATTTCTGCGGACTTACAACGCTAGAAACCGGGTTTCGATACCGTGGTGGGCAGAGCACAGATAGCCCATTGTGTAGCTTTGTGCATAACTACAAACAAACAAAAAGATACAAGTGGAACGTCCTATCACTGATAATTTCGCAAAAAAATAAAAACGCGAATTATCAGATTTAAATTTTCAATGAAATTATGTAGATAAAAATCTACATTTTTTTAAATATATTTTCAGTGGTAAAATCTCTGAAAATTGTATTCTTCCTCCCACCGATTCTTGAGGAGTAAATTCTCGTGAAGATCATTGTATATTTACTATTTTAGCATACCTGGTTACATATTAACTCGAACCATCTTTCCTGCGTTATATAAATATTTTATTGGTTTTCTTTTTATTAATATTTATGTTAATTTATTCGTTGTTTCCAGTAATAAAGATGAGCACTTTTTTTTAATTGTTCAAGCGCATAGCTACATATGGATTGTTTAATATGTGTCTATCACGGAGATCGAACCCCGAATTTTGCGTTATAAGCAATACAGTTTACCACTCAGCTATCAGGGACATATAAAGAGCTTCCCCCCCCCCCAGAATTTCAAGAGAT